AACCTAAAAAATTTGAATGCTGTGATTGGTTGGCAATAGGCACAGAATTTCCAACGTGACGGAAACTCTGTCTATTGCCTGTGTCACTGTTTATTCTGCATTTATACATGATTTCTGATTTCTATTCCCTGTTCCTATTGCCTGTTGCCTGGCATTGTGCAAGGGACTTTAGTCGTTATCAGGTATCGATGACATACAAACATTGTAGGAATGTGTATTTTTCTACTTAAACCACATAAAACACCTCCTATAGTATACAATAAAGATTGGTTCATATCTCAACAGGTATTTGATTTAGGACCCATGTTTAATGGACATTTTCTTCTTATTTTGATGAGTGCTTGCCTTCAAAATATGGGATACTTATTTTTTAGACACCCTGTGTATATATATATATATATATATATATATATATATATATATAGGTAGGTATATATATAAAGTGCTAATTTAAATATTGCATAGCGGCGGAATAGCTTAGCGCCATCTCTAGATCGATGAGTTAGAAAATATTGTTAAATTAAGATTACGAATTTTAAGATAACTTATAGACCGTTATTCACAACGACGAATTCGAATGAGCCTTTTCTTATGATTTCCCTATGTTCACAGTACCCTATTTTGAAGTCCTTCTTGGCGGGCTCGTTCTCTGGAACATTCTCTACGATCCTCTTCCAACCGCTGGACTTAGTGAAGACCAGACTTCAGAGCAGAGTCAATGCCCCTGTTGGGTAAGATTAAAGTTTGCTGTAAATAAAATCAGCAGTTAGACTTTTTTATTTTGAATACATAATCGGGATTTGTCCTCTCCTAATTTAAAATTTATAAGATTGAATTTAGATAATAGAAGTCGCTTGATATTTAATTTCTTAAAATCTATCATACTTTTAAAATTAACTACTTAAATTATTTAAAATTACACTTTTTACTTAATTCAAACTTGAGTTTTTTGTAATTAATTAATTTTACTTTCCGGATTTCTTAATAGATCGCCAAAAAATGGAATGCTGGGCACAGTGGCATACATCGTTCAGAAAGAGAATATCTTTGGACTCTGGAAGGGCATGACACCAGTAAGACGTTGCTCTGAAGATGATGATCTTGACATGGATTGAAGGTTGATTCACATTGATATTACGACATAATGGATGTTAATTTGCAGTCGATAACCAGAGTGATTCCTGGTGTGGGCTTGTACTTTTCGTCGCTACATTGGCTAAAGCATGCTTTCAATCTGGAAGAACCTCTGACGGCTCTACAGGCCATCTCCTTGGGCATTACCGCGCGGTCTATGTCTGGTGCTTTGCTGATTCCCATCACCGTCGTGAAGACACGATTCGAGGTACGTTCAGAAAATAGAGGAAAAAAGAGATAACAGGAATGTGGACAGTGAGAGGATATGAAATAACATAATGGGACTCTTGTAATTAAAGAGGGAAGAGATACTGAGAAAAGGAAACGATAGAAAATGGAAGAAAAAAATTCTAAAGCATAAGAAGAGTTTCTGCATTGCGCTATTAATATTATTCGTAAAATATAATTTAATACATACTTTTGTAATAGCATGACACTATCTAAAGATATTTCATAAGTTTCGATCATATGGGGATCATTTTATGATTATTTTTGGTCTTTTTAAAATGAAACTTGCGCAGATTATGTAAATATAATTCCGTATTGTGCAGAGTGGCGTTTATAAGTACAATAGTATCAGCGAGGCTCTTAAGTTGATCTACAAGCAGGAAGGAGTCAGAGGTTTATCGAGCGGTTTGGTACCCACTCTTTTGCGGGATGCGCCTTATAGTGGTTTATATCTCATGTTTTACACCCAATTGAAAAACGCTGCTGCCAGTACAGGTATTCCTTAAAGCTATTTTAGTTATATTAATCTATCGTATATCGTTAAACGACGCGATATTATTAAATTAATTATTCATGACTTACGTTAAAAATGTTTTACATAAAAATTACAAACTTATTTATGATTTTTTACAGGAGTGACGAACAATTCGTCGGCACCGGTTCACTTCGGCTGCGGAATCTTGGCTGGAATTTTGGCGTCCATAGTGACGCAGCCGCCGGATGTTGTAAAAACGAAGATGCAGTTATATCCGAACGAATTCAACGATATCTATCACGCGACGTTCTTCATTTATAAAAAGTACGGCGCCTTAGGATATTTCAAGGGTATTGTTCCTAGAATGCTGAGGCGGACTTTGATGACCACCATGGCTTGGACCGTGTACGAACAGGTAATTTTATCCATCAAGTAAAAATTTGACCACATGAAAAAATGTTCATTTTTCAAACTTTGCGGAAATTATTCTTATTACATTTATTAGTGTTACATGATACTATTATTATTGAATATTAAAATTGTATTTATTTAAGTAGATATATTTTGCATCAAGCAAGGATTAATTGTGAAAATAATTAATTAAACACTGTATATTTTATTACACTATTCAGGTTACGAGGCAAATTGGTTTGAAGTAAACACGCTGTTGTTGCACGAACTGTTTTATATCAGAAGAAGACTGTGATGTACAGTATTAGCATAGACTGTTTATGTACTATTAAGCTCATGTATTTATTTAATAAATTATATATTTTTGTAAGATTATAACTGTATTTATATCAATTCTCATATAGATTTTTTGTTTTGTACTTTATTCTTTTTATCTTCCTTAATTCAAGTAGCTCTATACAGGATAGCCCAGGACCTCAGACAAACTTTGAGGAATGATAGGTCACACAGAGGGGATCATTTTTTGTTAAGGAACATATGGTCGCTGACGCGTCCTTAAGGAGCTATGCATCCGAAAAGTCAGATCTCCGGTAAAATGTTTTGAACAAATAAAATCTATTTTTTCTTGCATGTTCTGACAATTTACAATAATAGCTGTTCAAATTGCCTGCCCTGTACCTCATTACATTGTTGACACCTTCGCAGCATTGATTGTCCAACTCTGTCGAGTATGGGTGTGACCTACGTACTGTACTGCAGGACTGCGTTCCGATTCCCACCCGGGTGCACTCCCTCTCTTTCTATCTCACTCTTCTGAGAGTTAATTAAATTAAATTTATGCAACACGTGCATGGAAAGTGCCCCATTACGCACGCTACGCGTGCGTGATAGACCACTTTCCAGGCACTTGCAACATAAAATAGGGAGTGTAAGCCGTGTGTAAAGATGGAAATTCCCGGGTGCAGTTACCGCACTCGCCTTCGGCTCGTGCGTAAACTCCGCACCCGGGAATTTTCATCTTACCTCACTTGTTACACAAATAACTATTTATTTGTGCAAAACATTTTACCGGAGATCTGACTATTCGAATGCATAGCTCCTTAAGGACGCGTCAGCGACCATATGTTCCTTAACAAAAAATGATCCCCCCTGTGTGACCTATCATTCCTCAAAGTTTGTCGGTGAGGTCCTGGGACACCCTGTATTTTATTTTAACAATATAATTACGATGAAAAACTGATAGATCCGAGTTAAATTTGTTTCAGTCCCAAAGTGGATACTTAAAAAGATTACTTAACTATTCACGCATAAAACAGTATGCAAAATAAAAAGAAAAGCAAACGGAGAGATATGTGGCATTGTTTTATTAATTCCAAATAACAATCTTACGAGCATTATTATTATAACGCGGCACAGCAAATACAAATTGTATCATACAATTTACCTTGCTGATATTCTGTTTATGTATAGATGGCCTAAAATAACAATTACTCGGAACACGAGTTATATCGATTCTGGCGGATCTCAACGCAAATATTTTCTTCGTCTGTCCTCTCCCTCTCTCACTCTTTCTTATTGTTAAGATTATGCAAAATCTTTACCTTAACAATATGTTAAACGATGTCTTGGATGAGTTCCCGTAGTCTTCCCCTTGTTCTTCTCTTCTTCCTGAAAATAGATAATCCAAATTTTACACAAAAGTGTCATCGGCACCGTGATACAATGTAATAGTCAAACATTATTTAATGACAGTTTTATGCTGGTAAAATCCTGTCCCTCTGTCGACTGTGTGTTTGTTTAACAAGCGCATGAAGTTCTCTTGAGGAAATTGCGAACTAAATCGCCTCAATTAGAAACACCGAAAGATACGCAGATCATTGGGTCAATTTTCATTATTTGGGGAGGTGACTTACGTAAGTCACAAAATATTCAAATAATTGAATATCATGTCTCTTAAATTTGATTTTTAAAATAAATATTAGTTTCTTATAGATATCAGGTAAATTCTCTATTATAATTATCTATATATCTTTCTATTCTTTAGTGGCTTTGCTAAGAAATAGCATTCTCGTTTAAGTGCATTCTTTTATAATAAAAATAGTGGAGTACGTTAAGTCTTGCATGAATATGTATGGCCCTATATACCGGCGATTTAAAGATCCTTATATTGTCTAAAACTTCGCATCTCAAAAATTGTTAGATCCTTAGTCAGCTAAGGACCCAACGGGACACGAAAACAAAGGAATAACTCTCCTGGCAGAAGGACATGTGTTGATATTATCATTCCGGCATAAATACCTCGTCAATTGCGTGGCAGAAGCTAGAGGTTCATATAGTCACAGTCACACGTTTGCAGGGCGCACTCGCAGTTGTGCACTCGTGCATTTGCAGTCGTGGACGAAGCTCTATGAAGCGGGTACTGAGAGCTGTGTCCCCTCCACACTAAACCACTAAATCTCTTACACACACGCACACACACACACACACTCTCTCTCTCTCTCTCTCTCTCTCTCAATGACGTGTAAACGAGATTACGGCATTAACAAACCTACAGACAGCCTCGTGCCCGAGAAGCGAAAGGAACTAAGTCCAAAATTGACTTTTACCAGGGTTTTTCTTTATCTTTATATCCCATAATGAGAAATACGATGTTCTTTTATAAATTACGTGGAAAAGCAATAATACAAGGTTCAGTTCCCGAAAAATAAGCCTCGAATTCAATTATCTGAAAACAAAACGCGATAAGACTATGTAGAATAAAGAGAAAAACGCTATATTTTTATAGAAACAATTCGTTTTATTTTTAAATAAACAGTATGAATTTGTTATATTGGATGAGTTTCAATCTGATTGTATTTATTCACATTCTTTCGATTCATCTTGAAAGTGTATGTCCATAATTCCATAGATCTTCGCGGGCTTCTCCTGGAAAAAAACGAATTCTTGGACTTGTGCTCTCTTGTTACTCGGGTACAGAGTTATTAACCGATGAAAGCAAGCATAGGTATACCTCCTCCCAGCTTGCTTCGCAGATAAATCGAGAATGCGCGAAATGATATATCGGAGTTATGTAAAAAAAAACAAATTAAATTTCCATATGAAATGATTAAAATGTCCAATTTTTACTTAATCAGTTTAAATATTATAAAAATTAGATTTACTTTCTAAAAATCCTAACAATATTTTTTAAAGCAATGCAATTTTATATTGTTAAAAACCTTTTAATATAAAGTGCTCGAAAAAATTAAATTTCGAGAAATTTGAAGAAAAATTGATATTATAAATGTATTTTGAAGTTTTTCAAAAAATCATTGCAACAATAGTTTAATTGAGACTGTAAAGTCGGTTCTATAACACGTCGTATGTCGGAGTCAAATGTTGGAACGCAGCCAATGATTCAATGAGAGAATTCCTTTTTCGAAAACGAATTTTCCTCATTGGACCAACGGCTGCGTTCCGACATCCGACTCCGACATACGACGTATTGTAGAACCGGCCTAAAGAGACTCAACTAAGAAAACAGATGTAAATTTAATTTTCTTGATCTTGAAACTCTACAAAAGCATTAGACTATTGTTACGCTAAAGCAGGTGTTTTTCATTTAGCGACACAAGTCTACACAAGCGTCACTCTGTCTTTTTTCAACATCTAGTGAACAACAAAGAGTGATACTAGAGTGATACTTGTATCGACTTGTGTTATAAGCTGGAAAGCATCCAGCGTTATTTTTTTGTAGACAATATTTACAAAATTATATTATAATAAGTACACTTGTTACAATGTTACAATCTGCAAATTTTACCATTGTCTATTCAGCTCTACATACTTCATTGCGCCATTAACAAGTTTTAACATTAAGGCTGAAGTCACATGGCATGTATTTTCCGCGTAAAAGGCTGGAGTCCCATGGCATGTATTTTCCGCGTAACACGTAACCGCGTAACGAATCAGAAGCGCGAATATGCATAACCGAAAATGTGAAACGCTTCTAATTGGTTAGGCGGTTACGCGTTACGCGGAAAATACATGCCATGGGACTCCAGCCTAACGCGTAACCGCGTAACCCCCCTCCCCCACAAAGAAGCGTTTTCGGTCACCTTCTGATTAGTTACGCGATACGCGTTACGCGGAAAATATCAGTCCATGTGACCGCACCCTTCGGAAGAACGAAAGAACATAACCTAGGGCCGGTATCACAGTCTCCGATTAACGTGATCCTCCGATTAAACTCACTCTTCGTCTCTTTCTAGGGGGACAGTTTGAAAGAGATGCAGAGTGAGTTTAATCGGAGGATCACGTTAATCGGAGACTGTGATACCGGCCCCTATTACTCAAATCTTATGAGAGGTGTTCATTTCTGGAAGATCAGAGAGAGGCGGAGAGAGACAGAATGTATTTCAGAGAGAGTGAGACGAACTTGCTGTGTGACTTACGCGGCGCTTCAAACATCACAGATTATATTATCATGTATATGTATTATGTGCATCGGAATGGCAACTCACCTGGATCGAGAGAGTACCTGTACAGTAATTGAGACGAATATGGTTATATTGTTTGGTGCATACCTGGCTTACTTCTCACTCACTAACCAATCAAGAGAAGTTACTTGTGACTTCGACTTCGCGAGCGGTGACGGCGACGATTATGGTGGCTGGAACTTCGATGATCGCGACTTCCTGAAATTATTATTATTGTCATTGCATCATCCTAGAACGTAATACGCCTGATCAATCCATGTTAAAAGATCAACGTTATCACTCACCTTTATCTCGACCGTGACGTCGATGGCTATCTTCGTCCCGATGGTGTTTGTCTCGCGATCTACTTCTACTTTTATGCCCAGTGTTTCTGTAACAAGCAATATCACCGTTAGATTAGCTCATTTGATTCTGAAATGTTACATTTTTACTAGAATCTACAAATATAACAGTGACCATCTTTTAGAAATGTAAAAACTTTCCTAATTAATTTTCTGTATTGATATTCTAACACTTTATTAAACGGTTTAGAATACATTTTTCAAAACTCGCTATCACAATACAGAGAGATTTCTACCTATGACCGCTTGAATCATGACGGCTCTTGTCGTCATCTATTCGCCTACGACGCTTGTCCCTATCTCTATCGCGATCTCTATCTCTGTCACCGTCTCTCCGTCGTCTGTCGAGCTCCTCGTTCGCTCGCGCCCTTTGCTTCCGTTCCTCCTCTCTTCTCTGTTCTTTCTCGTCGCGCACCTTCTCGCGTTTGTTCTGTAAGCGAGATTTTAATTTAGTCTTTAACTTAGTCAACTTGAGGAACATATTGAAGAAAATGACATGATTTGTCCCTACCATAATCTCTTGAAGAGCACTCTTCAGTCTTGCGTAGCCCACATGTTGTTTTCCCATTAGATGATCATCAATCCGTTGCTGAGCATCGCCCACGATAAGAAATGCGCCACACACATCACATACCTCCATTTGTTTCTCCTGTGCAGCCGCCAGTTCAGCAGTCTGCAAGTAAATGCTGTAGAATTAATATAAGAATTCAAGTAGCAAATCATAGATCATTTATAATTATTTATTTGTATAAAACTATGTAGAGATCGGTTATAGATTATAACTATAATTTATATACATCTAAATAATTATTTCATTCTTACTTGATTGTAATGACTGTTGTCGTTGGATTTCCTTAGGGTTTCGCGCTCTTCTTTCAACTGGTCGCAAAGACGCATTAGGCCCTGCGCTTGTTCCACATTGCCTTGAATTCCACTTTGCTCGGCCTCCTCCACCAACTTATTTATCTTCTCTGTTAGTAAGGCAATCTGCTCCTCATTCCTCTGAGTTTGGGCTGGAGTTAACGTCGGCTACAAGAGTTATTAAATTACAATTCTGCGCTCATAATACGATCTTCTAGTGAAACTTACTGCTTCTGTTCTCCCAATCAGTGCCAACCGCTGCTTTCCCTTTATGATTTTTCTCTCCACTTCGTTTAACATACTCTGACAATACCTGATAAACTCATCCTCATATTGCTGTTTACGATACGAATGCGGCGCCTTTTCAAAAAGTTCCCTAGCTTCGTCATCGTGTACCTTGGGACAGGCACCTAAGTCCGCTCTTGTATTAACAAATAAGTCATGGGGACAGAATTTCACCAGATACAGCTTACAAAACTAAAACATAAGAAAACTCCATATATTTAAATAAGCATCAAGTAGTGTAAAATAATTAAGTTTTAAATAAAGTTTAAGGAAACTGATACAACAGTATCTATTATTAATAATCATATTTTAATTTCAGAATAATGAAAAAATATTTATATCAATTTCTCCATTACATTGTTCTTTCTTAATGTTTTATATCTTCTTTCAATAAAAAATATATATATGTAAATATCTAATTTTAATAGTTTGTAACTTCTTAATAGATAAACTTCTTAAAAAACAGTAATAAAACAGTAAACAATAAAGACTACTAAACTTTTCAAAGAATCTTCTGGTAGAAGAATGAGACAAGTTTATTAGTTCTAATAACTAATAAACTTCTTCATTATTCTTCTTAACGATCGCATGACTTTAACTCCTAAAAATAAATAGTAAACTTAGAAGACCTAGGTTAATTTGTAAATATTTGGTTCTTTGAATCTTGGCAACTGTCAGGGCTGGAACACAATACAAAGGTACAGGCAATAGAAACAAGGAATAGGAACAGAATGCATTGATACACAGTTCCGATAGGTTAAAAATCTACATTCTGTTGCTATTCCCTATGCCTACCTTTGTAGGTATTGTGTTCCAGTCTTCGATATAAATTTTGTTTCGATTAAACTTTCGTATACATAAAATAAAATCTTATCGGATACAAAGTACAACCTCCAAGTTTACAAGAAAATAAAAAAACAGTAGAATGTAGAAAAAGTAAAAGAAGCGGATTAATTAATTTAAAGAAATCTTGTATTGAAATTTTATTAATTCGATTATTTAGGGCTCAATTGTACAAATTCTCATTGTTCATATCTTAGAATCTAGGAAAACTTTCATAGATATAAAAAAGGTCATCATTGTCAGGAGACAGGGTTAACGAGATGGAAAGTAAAAATTCTCGAAAGTGGGAATTGAGATTTTGCAAAGTAGCTAACAGAGGCTCTTCGAAGGTGTTCAGCAATCAACGCGAGCTTACCTCAGGATCCTCCCAGTTGAGTTCCTTGGGCTTCTCATTAGGCAGGACGTTCCTGTTTCTGCCCATAAGCTCGTCGAGCAGCGCGGCAGCCGCGGCGGCGGCCATTTTCTCTTGATCACACCACGGCGATGTTGTTACGTCGGCCCGTCGGAACTCATACACGGAGAACCTCAAAGTTGCGGAAAGATTACCGTGAAACAAAAAGAATTGTTGAAAAGTAGAAAACAAGGTTCGGCGATGTAAAGTGGAAATTTCGACAATCTTAAAGGGATTCAGTCGCAAAACGCAGCAGCGACAACGCGTTCGCGACAATTGCGTAAATTGCGAAGTGAAACTGTGGAGCACTGTGGAGTTTCACCACTAAGCGGCGCCCTTGTTGCGGTAAACAGTAGAGTCCCTAGAAGTAAAAGACCTCTACGAAGTTGGCCGGACAACTTCAACGTATCGAACTTTCATTGGGTGCGTTCAGCCGATACTCCGCTAGCCTAGCAATCGTGAGCAGTCGCTCGTTTTCGCTCGTTTCCTCTC